TTCTTTTTTTAAAAATGGATGAACGTTCGGCTATAAAATGCTATTATAATATGAGTTTTGACGAAAAAGCGATTGTCGAGAGGCTTAAAGACCTTAAGATTACGAGGTGCAAGGTCTATCGTACTGTTAAGCGACTTAGAGAGACAGGCTCTATTGCTGACCGGCCAAGGAGCGGGCGTCCTAGATCTGTTCGCACACCAGAGCTCATCAACAAAGTAAAGTGCCGTCTGTACAGAAACCCAAAGCAATCAATAAGAAGGATGGCGAAAACGGTGAAAACGGCGCGTACCACCTTGCAAAAGTTGGTGAGCGAAGACTTGGTCCTCCGTGCATATAAACCACGTAAAATGCAAAGAATGACACAGAAGCAAAAGATCAAAAGACTACAAAGAGTCAAAGACTTGCTCGAGCGGTTCGCTGATAAAGACATTGACCAAATTGTCTTTTCGGATGAGAAGATCTTTAGCGTCCAAAAGGTGTTCAATAGTCAAAACGTTCGTATATATACGTAGTGTCATTCGAAGACATACCGGAAGATATGAGAACCGTTCAGGGCTTTCAATATGATGAAAAAACAATGGTTTGGTGCGGAATATTGAAAAAAGGCAAGTTTCCGCTGGTTTTCGTTGAGCCTAGTACAAAAGCAAACGCCAAGTACTACAAGAGCAATGTCCTCGTAAAGGTTGTCAAGCCCCAAGGTGATCGAATATACAATGGAGGCAATTGGTGCTTTCAACAAGACTCCGCGTCCGGGCATAAAGCAAACATCTGCCAAAAGTGGTGTCGCGATAATCTGCACGACTTCATCTCAGCACAAGAATGGTCGCCTTCTTCACCCGATTTGAACCCCCTCGGCTATTCCATATGGAGTATATTGGAGGCCAGGATCAACGCTACCAGGCACACAAGTCTCGACTCCCTTAAGGCTAAGCTTCTTCAAGAATGGGAAACTCTCTCAATGGATGTCGTCCAAACAGCCATCGACTCGTGGCCCAAGAGATTGAGAGCTGTGATCAAAGCAAGAGGAGGCCGATTTGAATAAACTAAATTTATTTTAAATCTTTATTGACTAATAAATAAAGTATTAAAAACTAAATCCCCATTTTCTTATTTGTTTCTATTGTATACGAGTTTTATTTTGTATCAGAACTTATGGACCACCCTGTATTAAACAAATGGACAATATTTACAGTTTAATTTTACAGTTTTGTTTGTATCGATTTACAGATTTAAAGCTGTGCTAACTTTCTTGGGACGCCCTTTTGCTTTTTGTTTCCCTAATGGTTGAATACGTGTTTTATCGTTAACTTGACACAAGTTAAATAAAACTGCTAATCCAACAGAATGTTTACACGAATATACTTTCATACCAACCGAACGACTACATGACTCTTATGGTACAACAAGTCAACAGGATTGTTGCCACACCAGAAAATGTATCATTGGCTTGATATTTCTCGTTCTCATCAGTGACTTACATTCAATGATACTCGGGTGTGGTAATAATCTGTTGGATTAGCAGTTTTATTTAACTTGTGTCAAGTTAACGATAAAACACGTATTCAACCATTAGAGAAACGAAAAGCAAAAGGGCGTCCCAAGAAAGTTAGCACAGCTTTAAATCTGTAAATAGATAAAAACAAAACTGTAAAAATATTATCCATTTGTTTAATATATGAATATGTTTGTGTTGTACATTATACTTTGTTGAGAAATAAAAATGTGTGAGATTCATGCTGAAAAATTTGGTGATCAAAAAAATTGATACTCTAATATATATTGATTTACACACTCTTAAAAACAAACTCATTATTCATAATACTTCAACATTAGTTTAGTTTAATTAAAAACTAATAATCAAAATTTGAGCCTCATTCATTTTCCTTCTTGTTTCTTTTTTTGAAATACAATATTTTTGTAGAACAGACATTTCACTGCCCATACACAGTGGACATTTTTCACTAGAGTAGACGGACATCTCGTTTCCTTGAGTTAAAAAATGATTATTTTCGCATAATATGGTCTTATTATGCGTCAGATATTAATACAAGTAAAAAAGCTTGAATTCAGAAAAAACGTTTTTCTCGATAAAAAATTCGCCCTGAATTTTTGTCAAAAATATTTTATTTGTAAAATTAACACCATTCGATGTAAGTTTTCATGCTGATTCCGAATATCACCTTAATTTTCAATAAAAGTGTTTCTTGGCTGAGAACAATGGAAAATACCTCAAAACCCTGGGTTTTTTGGAAAACTTATAATTCTACTTTGATAAATATGTACATTTTTGTACGTTCACAATTGATAGAGGAAATAAAACCGAGCATTTTCGTATAATCTTGAGTCAGATTGGACGGCGGGGGGAAAAGGGGGAAACTCATTACAAGATGAGAATCTCTTTCCAAACAGACTTAGTCTGAGAGTCGAATTTTTTCTCGGATTTGACAGGTTTAGAAATGATAAATTTTTTCTAGTTTTGTGGAGGAGGATGTGTAGATTCAGAATATGTGAGGTTTTTCAACCTTAGACCACTGAGTCTACTAAAAAACCTATTTTTCTCTGAGGTCGCTACTTTTCAGGCACTTTTTGAGAGGATACAGTTTTCCGAAAATGAGTGGACTTGGAGTAAAAAATTTTACACCATTCGATAACCCGTCAATTGAACTGTACGTGACACTATCTGAATTTTGAAAAAACTGTACTTTCGATTTTTAGCTAAGTGTCCTTCTGGATGCCCACTGTGTCATACTAAAAAGTTTGACATCTTTCTAACATGCAAAAGAAAAAAAGATGTATAGAAATTCATCATACAGTCTTATATATGACTCATGTAAAAGTATTATCTATATTATTAAGGTAAAGATTATGTGAGCAAACAAAATTCTTTTTTTTTTGTTTCATTACATGTTTGTTTCACGAAAAGACACATTACTTCTTCTCACAAAGGGTACACATCAAAGCTTTTGACAAAGTATGAATCAATCATTTTTTATCATTTCCATTTTAATTTGTTGCTCTTACGGGGCGGATGATCCGTGCAAATATACGGCAAAACAAGGAACGATTGATCTTACGTCAGTTGGATTTAGTAATGGTGAACCGGCATTTAAAGACGCTATTGCAGTCGAGCACGCAGATGGTTACAGTGAGTATTAAATTTTATGACTGATTAAATATTTCGAAATACCTTTTAAATAAATTTTTAAACTATCTGAATTTTTTTAACATAAACTTTCTCTTCTGCTCGATGGTATTCGATTGTGTCATATTTCTTTTAATATATTTAGTGTACAGTTTTAATCCGTGTAAACCTTTTAGTGAAGAATCATGTCATAATGTGGCTGGTTGTCAAGGTAATTAAATTTGTCTTATCACGCACGCTAAGAGTTTATTTCTATAAATATTTTACACTATAGTTTCTAAAGATTTAAAATTGTCGTTTACCATCGGAATGCATGATACCGTATCGTGGGTTCCGGGAGTTTTGGGAGGAATTCCATCGTTGAAATATACAGCTCCTGGGAAAAGTTTAACTGTTGACTTAAAATGTGTTAATGATGGCAGTCCAGATCAAATACATGTAAGTGGAGAAACAAGTATGAACAATTATGAACTAACATTATCCACTAAATGTGCCTGTTGGAATGTTTGCAAAAAAGGTCCTGGTCCAGGTCCCGGCAAGAAAAAAGGTTTAAGTGGTGGTGCAGTAGTAATCATCATTACTATTTGTTTGCTTTTTGTATACATTGTCGGAACGATTTCATATAACAAATTTCATTTAAAGCAAACTGGTGTCGAACTTATACCACATCGAACATTCTGGATAGCATTACCCGGTTATGCGAAGGATGGTGTGGTTCATTCATACAAAACTATACGAGGCGGCAAAGGAACTGGCTATCAATCAGTGTAATTGACCACTTCCAACAGTCCATATTTATCTGAATTTTTTTTTATATTAGGATAAAAAATAACGTATATTACGATTCATAATTTTTTGCACGGCGGATTAATAGAGATCATTCGTTGATAACTATGTTATTAGTCACTGATAATGATTTTGTTCGATACGAATAAATTAACGGAATAAAATGTGGCAAATTGAGTTAACTTAGAGATTCGCGCGGATACCGTTTTCCGATCTGTATCCGACTCGAATTTCACCCTTACCCGAGAACTCTGTACCTGTACCTGATTTACGTCTAAATATTTTCTTCTTTTCGGCTTCCAGCTAAAAAGTTTTGCTTTTTGGCTGAAGACGTCAAATTATTATTCTGTTCATAAGTAATTCTTTTAAAATTTAATAAACTTTAGCTGAAATCTTGTATTTTTTAATCGAAATTTAGTGGTTTTTCATTAAAATCTTTCGGATTTCGGGAAAATTTAAAAAAACGAAAGCCGTACCCGTAGTTCCCCAATCCGTACCCGACAACTTCGTAACCGTACCCAACCTTCGGGTAGTATCGGACAAAGATGTAACCGGTACCGGCAATCGGCCGGCCGAAAGAAAATTAATTTAACCGGCCGGTCGAGGAAAAAGTGTTTTTTTGTCTGAAAAATCAGTACTTTATCGAAAACGAATTTACTGAGCTAAGTAAAACAAAGTTTTTCATATTTCAGATCTATGGATTTGTATTTATACATATACAGTGCGAAGTGCTCTCTACAAAACTGGATCTAAGGGACATCTTGGAAAGCCATGGTTCGAGACCTATGGAAGTTTTTCCAGAAGCCTCTGCACTCCTCTGTCGTTAGGCTTTTACACTTACACACTAGGAAAATATATGACCGCCCAGCCGACCGGCCCGTCCCGGTCAAAAATTTTTCGATCAGTTACTGGCCCGGCCGAGAAAATCTTAACAAGTTACATCTATGGGTTAGGGTATGGATGCGGGTTGAACATCATTAAGACTTTAAACTTTTTCTAATTATTATTTGTAATGCAGTCTTCATAAGAGGCTCAAATCGATACGTGTATTCATCTAAAGCAGATACCAATCGACATAAAAGTTGGATTCATCGAAACAAATTGAACTATTTGGAAGTCTTTGTTTTATAACCGGATGATCATACGATGCATTAGCTTCATCTTGCATGGGGGCATGTTCATGGAAAGTTTCATAATGATTGTTATTCAACAAACTACGTCGACTGGAAAATGACCTCCTAAATAGACAGATATCTGCTGCTTTCCTGAAAGGTTCTGTTTAATCATGAAAATAAACGTGTATATGTTGTAGCCAAAATTAAAATCAAATTCTCCATTCTAATTTTGGCTAGTCCTATATTATATTTCTACTCTCTTTTGGTCCAAATTGTTTTGGCAATCTGATCATAATAACTGAGAATTTCGTCTTTTATCATGTATATTGAGACCTTGAAAAGGAAAAATTCTTGTCTATTAGAATCACCATAAGACTTAAATCCTAATTTGACTTCTGACTGACAATCGTTAGCCAAATTTGACTGAATTTGAATTTTGGTTACTGCACATATTTCTTAATCTTATTTCTTGTTACAGATTTAAAAGTTAATCAAGAATATCGAAACAATTGGATAAGAGCAAATAATACTGACTATAGTGGCGATATACAAATCAGCTAACAAGGGCACCTCCCGAGGTGTCCCCTTCCAATTTCAATGATTTGTACATGGCTCGATAGATCTCAGTGAGATAGTAAATATCCTAAAAGGGTTCGGGTGCATAACTCTGGAAGACCCGGTTTTATGGAAAACCAGTTTTTCAAAAACTCTAAAAAGTAACCACAACCTGTTCTTAATTAATGAGTTATAATTGCAGCCCG